GTCACAGTTTCGCCGCTGCGAGACGCTACTAGCACCCCAGCCCCCCCAACTCTGACTAACTTCCCGCGTCCCTGCTCTTGCTCTACCTCAGTACCTTTTTTTTATGTTTCTAATGTAGAAATGTCACATTGTTCCATTTCTACAAAAGAAGCATCAGCTCTATTTTATCTGTATAAACCAGTGGTATACTTACTGACTTTAAACTACACTTTGGGTAAAAAACTAAATCAAGGAGTAGTTTCATTTTATTTTCACAGATTGTAACACCCAAGTCCAGTGGAGATTGTTTCTAATGCACAGATGCATCTCAGATAATCACAGGACATCAGAATAACAGTATAAATATGCATTAGATGTGTGGAGAGCCGTAGCCTCATTAAAGATAAATAGGTTTTGGGAAGCTACTCCGTCATTGCATGAAAGTCGGAGGCCATTTTGGAGCAGACTGCAGCCGCTGCGAGTCTCACTGATGTGGAAAATCTTTCTGCTAACTCGTTTAAGAAAATGCACAGAGACCATGAAATACCACACAATGGAAATGTTTATTGATGCATGTGTGAAGTTTGGAGATACGCTTTTGAGGAATATACAAGAAGTGGGCCACAGCATAAATAAAAAATGTAAACAGTCCCTTTATCACCTTTTGGTATCAGAATAAGTTTGGCTGGCATGTGATTGATATCCTCCCTAATTAAAGGCTTCTCACATTTAAGGAATTAGCAATAAGATAACTCACAGAAACACAAAAGCAGCCTTAAAGGGGACATATATGGTGGGAAATGCATTGGAAACATCACTGCAGGGTCCTTTTACATGTTTAAGTGCTTAGATGTACTGTGAAAAATTGGAAATAAAGACGGAGCCAAGACTATTTTAGGATTAAGGTGGACAAAAACACACACACCTTGAAAACAGTCAACAATTGGCTACGAGCTGCGCCGTCAGGAACTGTAATGTTCCTTTAATTGTCTTGAATAAACTGCATCGCTGAAGATTATAGTTTAAATCTGATTTATCTGCAAATGAATACCTTTTGATTTTGATTATTAACTATTGCATTATTCCAAACATGCATTAACAAACTGATTGCATATTGTTCCAGTTACATATTCAACAGGCAGCAGCCATGTATACTGAATAATTTAACTCTGTACAAATAAACACCTATACACTGATCAACTCATTAGACATATTACAGTATTTCTGATTTAATATACCTATATCAATCTTAAGACTACTCACAAATAATAGCGCAAAATGTACAGCGTCACAGACACCAGAAATGATAACATTTACATACGACAGGCATTATTGAACATTGAGGAGTTTTCTTTACACAGAAGATCCACCTCAAAGGAAATTAAAAAGGCTGCTTAAACTCGGGTGGACTCTTTGCAACACCGACTGTTACTGATGTTTTTAAATAATTGATTTCTTAATTTTTGCAAAATAAAGATTTAACAGCCACATACTTGGCCTTAGAGCTGGATAATTTGTCGAGGTTTTTAACTTGTAGAGGGAACACGGTAGAGTCGGCTCTCTGGAGGTTAACACAGCCCTCCCTCATAATCATCCTCATCCTCTGCTGGCGCTCCACCAGCGCCCCCTTGTGGTGCGGCGGCAGCCTTCTTCTTCTTTGTTCCGCCCCCGGGGACCCTCAGGGAGAGGGCCAGCTTGGCGTACTGTGAGGGGGAAAAAAGAGTCGTCAGATATCAGATCCTCAAAATGTATTTTCTCAATAAGCTTCTTGCAGTGATTGAAGCACATGACGCTTTTTCTGCAGAAGTTAGAGTTTTACTGAATTATTTCACATGAGATTTCTGTTCATTTCTGTTCCTTAGACAGTCATTAGTCCTGATGAAGCAGATTGGATACGTTTTTGAGTGTTTAACCATAATAAGTGATATGTAAAGCCTTGGATCTATTTCTCTAGGTGTATCAAACTCAATTTCACACAAGGAAATGAGAATCCCGTCAATGGCCAGACATGTTTAGTTTATTGACATGCTTTTATTTAATCGAAAAACTAAAATATCTCATATGGACTTTTTACATACAATTTGACAAACATTGTTAGCCACAGTTACCGTCTTTTTAAGTTAAAGTTGCTGGTCCTCCCAAGAGAGATGACTGTGTCTTTAAGTGGATCTCTGAGATTTTTCCACAGGAAGAACAGCGCTTCATTATACCATTTGTATTTATAGCTTCTTTGTGAAATCTGACTTTTGTGTGAAAATGAAGAAAGTGTTTTAGCGGCGAGGGTGAGACCACAGGGGAGTAAGTGACATTAAACATTTAACCATCCAGAAGACAATGAACAAAGCAAGACAAGGACAAATGAAAATCATAATAACATAATAACTGTTGATCGGTTTCCATTTTTGACCGTATACAAAGAAAAAATCCATAGAAATAAAGCTGTCATTTAATATAATATAAAGTCATTTTTGTCAGAATTGTCCCATACTCCTCTCTGGTTCTCCCCCCGTATTAAAAAACATATTCAGAAGTACTTATGGATCACCAGTACTCACATCATTGTCCATGTACTTCAGTAGAGGCGAGTTGCACACGCGGTAGACCTGATCCTCGTCCTGCTCGTCGTAGCCCTGCAGTAGCGTCTCCATGGCGACGGAGTCCTCGCTCCCACTGTACCCGGGCAGACTGGACGAGACCAAGAAACACATCATGTAAAGACCCTCGTTTTTAAGGGTTTTCACGATGATCACGTGGAGGGTAAACAATCTCCAAAGAGAGCCTCTGCATTTGATCGACTATGGACTCAGGCCAAAGATGACAGAAACGAAAGAATATGGTAAAAAAAAAACGTACCTGTAACTTTCTCTGACGCATTTATCAGCTGCTACGTAGTCCGCTCTATGGAGATGAATCAGCACTTGGACAGTTGTTTTCTGAAGAGTGAAAAACACAGACCAACACATATGTTTACTCTATTTCTTTTAGGAGCACCTGATCTTTTTGTGACCATGTGACATATATTCAATATGTTTCTTGTTTACTGACACAGTGCTGTGTTTACACTGCTGTTATTAATATTGATCAGCTGAGAGGAATAGAATAAGAACTGAGTTGCCTATCTGGCAAACGTATTCTAGAGGTAGTATATACAGCTTAATGAAGTTGCTAATGAGAGATCTAGATAACATTAGCATTGTAACCCACCTTGAAGCACATGGGGAAGTTCTCGATATCTTTGTACATGTTCTTCTCTTTCAGCACAGCGACCGACGCCTCATCCAACCTGGTGGGTAAAACGAGAAAGTGAGGAATGATGAACAGCTACTGTTTAAATACATTTGAGCAAACAGCTTGTAAGCCTTTATTTATGGGATAGATCTCAGTGAGTTATTGGAATAAAGGTGTGTGGATAAGTCCATCACCTTGTTCCGTACATAAGCATTTGCTAAAACAGGACAGTTATAATCCTGTGTTGCATGAGGCAGCATTATCATCACCGTCCTTCCATATATATCTGTATCTCTTTACCTTCTTAACCTGACCAGGAGTCTGGAGGCTTTCCCCAGCATCTCCACTGCCTGGCGCAGGCGGTCCTCATTCTACAGAGAGAGGCAACATGGATGTTTATCAGCGGAACAAAAATAAAAACAACAAGTTAAATGATTCATTCAGGTTTTGTTGGAAGCTTACCTCAAACACGCCAGCTGCCTTCTGATACAGGTCCACAGCTTTCTCTAGATTGATAGGCTCGATCAGTCTGAAGAATAAAGGAAAAGGTTAAGAGGAAAGCAAATGTGCAAGTATTCAAAAAGATGATGCAATGGACAGAGATATAGTCCCAAAGATGTGTGTTAATGTAATGCATACGACAGAAGATGTTAAATATCAATTTTCTCAAGTGTATTCAAAAATAAAGGGATGTTTTTTACTTTCCAGCGNTGTGTAATTAATTAATCTTAATTAACGCGTTAAAGTCCCGGCCCTAATATATATATGAGAGAGAGAGAGCTCTGTTTTCCAGCCTGAGTCTATTTAATTTATTGTTTTGGTTGTGTGTGATTTAATTAATTTATTATAATTTAATTAATTTGTTTTATTTATTATATATCATTTATGTATTTTAATATTATTTCACATTTCATTTGCAATGTTGAATGTTCAATAAAAAGTTCTGTTTGAAAGGATGTACTAGAATTATTATGATATATTATCATTATGTCAGTGGTCTAAAATGGTGTTACAATGGTGCCGACAATATTATCGTTTATCGCAATAATTTCCAGGAACATTTATCGTCCAACAAATTTATTTATCGTGACAGGCCTATGTGCAAGTATTAAAAAAGATTATGCAATGGACAGAGATATAGTCCCAAAGATGTGTGTTAATGTAATGCATACGACAGAAGATGTTAAATATCAATTTTCTCAAGTGTATTCAAAAATAAAGGGATGTTTTTTACTTTCCAGCGCGGTCCAGAGCCATGGCAGCGGTGTCAGGAGTCCCGTTCTCCATGTACATCATGCAGGCTTTCTCTATTAAGTCGATGGCCTCCGGCATCTTCTTTTGCTCCTGATGCAATGCAAACACAGCAGAGTTACAATTCTGCTGCAGACGCGTTACCTACGTCTACCTGCTAGAGTTTAATGTTAAATCTGCACATACCTTCATCATCATTCCTGCCTGTTCAATAGCCCTGAGGAAAAGAAGGAGAATTTGTATTAAATAAGAGTTATAATGTTAGTTGCTGGCTTAGAGTAATAACTGGGTCATAAAACTTGACACTTACTTTGCAGCATGAAACAGACTGTAGGAAAGGTTAAGGAAATAACAATACAGACAAAAGTGCAGTGTCATGAAACTGTGATCAGAGTACAGAGAGGATACGTCTTGTTTTCTGTTTGATATTCTGCTTCCTTCAAGTAAGCATCCGCTGCTTGTTCATACTGCTTTGCATTCTTGAAGCACACAGCTACACACAAAAGGAGGGACAGGTTAACATTTAGTAGTACAAAGGTGGTAAATGATAGCTATAAATAAAGAAATAATATTGATTTTACCTGCTTTGGCATATTCTGACGCAGCACTGTCAAAATCAGGCTTCCACTTAGTCAGACTTGTCTTTAGGCTAAAAAACATGACGATAAGAAATATTAGGAACCACAGGATCACAGGGTTTTCTGTTCCCCATATTAATATCCTCTCAATATGACATATTAATAAGACATTTGAATGTTGAAGTGTAACATGTTGAAATCATCCACCCCCAGTTTACAGCCTAACGGTATTATACTGCTTGAAACCTATGCACTCAAATTCGATGGAAGATATTTGTCTTTTTACCTTTATATGTATAAACTGACTTATCAGATTGTTTCCATTTAAGCTGCATTTCAAAACATATATCTCAATTCATTATTTAGCTATTTGAACTGCGAAGATAGCCATTACACATGTATTACAAAGTGTATATTAATAACATGGACCATGGGAAAATAGTGATGACCCCAGCAAAATACAAACGCCTGAATCATAGCAGATTTAGCTACATTTTCATTGTATTGACATTCAACAGAAAAAGACATTGCAGCTTATTTATTGTATATTAAATCGACCTATAATGACGTGACGATGCAAGATTTAGTCATGTATGCCGCATAACCCCCGGTGAAAATGCCTCAGTGGCCTTTACTGAAAGCTAACATCAATAGTAAAAAAACAAACGGCTGTTTCCTGTAAATTACATAAACGAGATTATTTATCGTAACTCACCATTTTTCAGCTTTAGCTATATGGTCATGGGCTTCGTTTATCTTCTGAGCAGCCATGCTGTCGTTAACTCGAAGAGGTTTAGCGATTTGTTATGGATAAAGAGCGATGGTGTATCGTCGCTGTTTGGATTAACAGGAACTCCTCTTCGGCCGCAACGTCACGAACGTCATCCGATGTCGCAGACTACGGGTGCCGCAGAGGACATGATGCAGCAGGAAAGCGAACACACTGGCTGCTTTGATTTGTGTTTTACGATACAGAAATACAGTAACTTCACCCACTTTAGATATTTGCTGTGCGACAGAATAAAGCACGACATAGCAGGCAACCAAACAATGTTAGGTGAACAACTGCAGGTGGAAGAATAAACAAAAAAAATAAAACAATAGGTACATTGAAACCAAATGCACAGCCATTATATTAATCCTACTGTTTAAATAGCCTTGTGACAGCAACACATCTGCTTCTTCCATTATAGATTATGTTTCTACAGATTTCTATGCCCCATTTAAAATATATTGATACTTATATGGGCAACATATAATCTGTCACTGCCAATATAATCCCCTAAAAGTGTACATACAGAGACATACAGTTACATACTGCACTTTATATATATTCAGCATTTGTATTATTATTTTTGCAATATTTGTATAGTTTACATCTTACAGAACACATGAATTCTATTTAGACTTTGTATTATTTCGTATTCCATTGTTTTGCCAGTGGAGCTTAAATTTGTATGTATTTTAATTATTTAAATACATGTCTACTATCACTTGTTTTGTTTTGACCGATTCACTCTCTTGAGCACTGCTCTATAGAATATCGGCCTGTTGTCTGACTGCTTTTAAAAATCTGACTTAATGGCAAAATCTGACTAAAGATTGAACAGCCCACAACTTGCATCATTTTAGACACACGTTAAACACTGGATGAAACAATGGGCATACCTTTACAATTGTCAGAGCAGAATCAAATAAATTCATGACACCTGAGAAGCAATGGTCATAAAAATCCTTTCATTTTTTGGCACACAACTGTTTATAGTTTCAGGTCTTCTTTAGTTTAATGCAGTGGTTCCCAAAACTTTTTCAGTCGGGCCCCCCTTGGGTAATTGGAAATATTTTCGGGCCCCCCCATTTCCCATTTATATTGGCAGGATTCATTGTATATTGTTGTAAAAACATTAAATGTTCTCTGCTAATAATAATAAGATACAAAGATCCAACTATAATCCCACCAGGGGTCGCGCCCCATAGTTTGAAAACCACTAGATTAGGCGAAGTCCCTCCCTTGAAAAAAATATGTATTGAAGTCAATGGCGAGAGAAAAGTTATCTTTCGATCCCGTTTGAATTGTGCCACGAATTACACATATGATTTTTGTCAATTTAAAAAAAAGTTTTGCAGTAAAACTGTGAAGTAAGACTGTTTTTGTGTGAAACCGCTCAATGAACTTCATCTCTGGTCTCGCACAATTACACACGACACCAAGGTGGCCGTCACTACTGTCTTGCCAAACAAGGGGCCAAACAACTAATTAAACTCCACCGAATTATAGAATTGTGTGTAGGTCACTTTCAGGAGTGATCTGGATAAATTCGAGTTGGTTTCCTGTTTCCTGGCTTCCTCATATCTAATTTGGTTTTAAAACACTTGAATAATTGTTACATTATAAAATAATAAGTTAGAAGCCTCCAGAGGAGCGGCGGAACCGGAAGTTTGGGGTAATGTGGTCAATGACGTCATGACGGTTGCGGTCTCTAATGGCTGAACAACAACAACTGTCCGCGAGAGACAAACTTTCACAAACTCCTTGTAAAACAAAAGAAAGTTGGAAATAGAAGAATTGTTTCGGTTGTCTCTCTCTCTTTAGGAGCGTTTGTTAGTTTATTCCCTGTGGTTACAAATGTGGAATAAGTGATGGATTCGAGATATGACATACCGCGGAGGGCCGCTGGTGGTGGCGGGGGATCCGCGAACTCTTCCCCGGCCATGGGGGCTCAGTCGCGCCGCAGGAAGATGCCTCCCAGACCCGCTGATTTTAAACTTCAAATTATCATTATTGGCTCCCGTGGTGTCGGTAAAACCAGCATCATGGAGAGATTTACCGACGACACTTTCTGTGAAGCTTGCAAGTCGACCGTAGGTGAGGACAGGAGACGTGTTTTTGTCAACTTTGTTTGACAGGGCGCAGTCTACTTACTGGAGGAAATGTTCTTAAACTACCATGGGCTGGGCATTATACACATATTGTTGACTACTTTTCTGTGTAACTGGACTGAATATAGATTATACTAGACGCTATAGCTAGCTAACTTAAGCTAACGGTAACAACAACACTATTGTAGCTAACAAAGCTGTCATAGCTAAAACTATGTTGCAATTAATCAACTAGACATACATGTTACATGCTTTGAATAATTTTGATGTTTTTTTGCATTTACTAGGCTGTTACATGGGATGTATATCAAGGATTTTAAAGCCCAACATAGCAGGGGAGGCTTGGTAACTTAGTTCTTAGATAGCATCTGCAGCTGTCCAGTAATTAGTTAACTTAATATACTGCTGGTGGTGAGCCTGTTTGGTTATATTTAAATAAATAAGGGTATAGTTTTGTTCAAATAAGGGCTTTAATTAAAGGCCATTTCCATTATTGTACAGCCATTTTTCCATTTTATTTATACAATTACAGTTCTCCTACATAAAACACATGATCTCTTTATTTGAGTTATTAAAAAGAAAGAAAACAAGAGTGACTTGTGACAATTTAATGTTGCATGGTTATGGATGCTGCCAGCTTAAATACATAACACCCTGAACATGTGTAATTGGGTAAAAAGTCCTGTGACCAAACAACAGTCAGTCATAGTGTCCAATCCCAAAATAGTCACACAAGAGCAGCTGCTGTGGCAGAGCTCCATTTTGTGCCTTGTCATTCCTGTAATACAACTTGTCACTAATAGCATTTTATTTTGATCACAAATTAACATTTTAAAACAACATTGGATTCAACCAGACATAAAGCAAAGGAGGGAAGTCAAATATCTTAAACCAACCAACAAATAGACAGAAAATAACACAGGAAATGCTGGAACTTGTACATATCCTCAAGTGTGTTTCTGTTTCCTCTCATAGGAGTTGACTTCAAAATCAAGACCGTGGAGCTGAGAGGGAAGAAGATCAGACTACAGATATGGTGAGTAATTCCCCAGAAGTCCCCAACTCCTTTAGTCCTCTGCATGGTTCACTTCCTGTGTCTGTCCTATCACCCTGCAAGCTTCTCTAACAAACAATTACTCCTGCCCTTCAGCTTTGTACTGTACATAGCGCATATCAAAGTAAGACTTCCTACAAATGATATGATTGCATGTAGGGCTGCACGATATTGGAAAAAACTGACATTGCGATTTTTTTTCCCCCTGCGATATATATTGCAAATATATATATGAAAACATACAGGAATTGAAGAAAATACCATTTTTTTTCCCGCAATTCGCAAACCATCCTTTCTTGAACTTTAATGCTATGTAATTGGTATTTTTTTAACTATATTTAACCAGATGAAGGATTTTAGTCTGGATCTTAAGTTATCAGAGCAACAAGCTGAGCTAGCTCGGTTAGCAGCGCAGAACTGGAGAAACACATGAAACTACTTCATTCAGTGTTTTTACCTTTAATCACAGGGTCTGTTTGCTTTGGAGATTTGATTGTGATTAGTGGTTTGCTGTGCATGCAGACACTGTATGTTAAATGCCCTCCTGATAAAGGTACTTGCTGGCTGCTATAAAGGAATAGCAGATCACCTGGCAACTCTGACCCATAATCCTTTGCGCAGCAGACGCATAAGAGTGTGAAAGTTCACGGGGGCGATGACAAAGTAATGACAAATGCATACTGTATGCAAAAGCACACTTTGTAAGGGCAGCAACATTTACAGTATAAATTCCAAATTATGCAATTATAAACGCATGTCTTGTATTTTTTTCCAAACATGCCACAAGTTAGTTATGAAAGTGCTGACTGAGTGCATGACTGAACTGCGTGTGTGCACAAATGTTGGCCTCAAACCCCATCGCTTATTTCCCTAATGCATCTGTCCTCTTCACTAACACCCATCCATCCCCCCTCCACATCACATCCGCCCTTTACCTCCTCCCGTTTCCCCTCGTTCCTCTTCCCACCCTGCGACCTGTCCGCTCTAGAGGACCGTCCTCAATGTGTCTTGTCTGTCACATTGAACTGCTCACATCAAGCTTCATCATGTCCACGCCTTAACCTGACCGCCATGTGCTGCTGTGTCTCTGTCCGCTGCTCTGCTCATAAGCCTGACTGTGACTCACAAAGGGAACCACTGAAGGTACAGTAACACTGCTCTGTTGGTGCGTGCAGCTCAACCTGCTTATTGTGCTGCTAAACCTGAGTCTGATCATCAGCTGAAACATAACAGAAAGCTTGAATGAATCTATATGTTGTTCAAATGTAACAAGAGTTTATTATGTTGTTAATGTTAATAGTAAGTCTGCTTTCATTTCAAGTGCCTGTAGTTATTTTGTCATCTTGATCAGCCTATAAAAGCTGCTATTGTCTAACAATGTTATTTAGATTTTATGTATCACAAATAGCATACATGCAGTATATTAACATGAACAAAATGGTATCGGTAAACACACTATAATGTAGCTGTAAGTTATTTTCATTTGTTTTTATATACTCCTCCCCTTATGGCTGACAACAAGAGTTGTAGTGTTTGACAAATACAACAATTAACACTTACATGTGCTTACATTATAATGAGTTGTAAACCATTGATAGATAGGAATATAAACGTACTGCTTATCAATACAAGAAGTGTGGGTTAAACTGAGATGTAGAGGTAGAGGGTAAGACGTAGATTTGACATTTCACAAAATTGATTCCTCTTCCACCATTTGTTGTTGGATCTTTTTAAAACAAATGTCATTTTGTGTCGTGCAGGGACACTGCTGGCCAGGAGAGATTCAACAGCATCACCTCCGCCTACTACCGAGGCGCCAAGGGAATAGTGCTAGTGTACGATATCACAAAGCAGGAGACCTTCGAGGACCTGCCCAAATGGATGAAAATGATAGACAAGGTAAAGAGAAAGCTGGAATAAGATGAAATATGCCTCTTCTTTCTTGTTCTTCCTTCTTGTCCTTGAGTGTGTTCTAGTGCCATTGTTATAAGCCAAACAAACAAGTGTTTAACCTTGCATAAATAATTGAGATAGTGTAAACGTTATTATTCTAGCAATTGTGACCAGGAAATGTACTGTGAAGGACTTTTTTACCATTAGATAAGTTAACTTATAATGCCTTTGTGTATAGGCGTGTTCAATGTTTTACTTTAGTGTCAATTGGCAGAAATGATTGGCTTGAATGTATTCATTTGATATGAGTACATGTGACGACTCCTGACACTGTAATATCTCTTTTTTTATATTTAATATTCATTGCATGTCCCTCCTGTAGATTAAAGGTTGGAGCAATCTCTGTCCTCATCGTCAAACTTTATTGGTATATTGGCCAACATGTAAATTATATTTGCCAAGTTATGTTGCCAGATCCCACTGCTTACATGCTGGTGTAAGAACATTTCAAAAAAAAAATGTTTTAATGACAACCTCATGTTCTAATTTCGCTGTAATGGCAAAACTGTAAATCCAATATTAAAGGTGTCACTATGCCGAACACATTCCATCGCAGTAATCAGGTTGGACTTTATGAAATGTGAATCTGATGAAGCCCTGACGTTTTTGTCTCTTTCCTTTCTGTTTGGTGTCAGTACGCCTCAGAGGAAGCAGAGCTCCTCCTGGTCGGGAACAAGCTGGACTGTGAGGCGGATCGTATCATCTCCAGACAGCAGGGAGAGAGGGTGAGTTCAACAACCTAATGCTCTTATGCTCAAATGACCTAATAGAAGGTGCAGTAAGACGAACAATAGATAAATCAGGTATTACAAGCAGAACGTCTTTAAAGTTTAGGGAAATAAGCAAACAAAGGATGCAGAATGTAGGGCAGATAGATGCTTTCAATATGCCCATGACTGATAGCACTGAATACCCCAACAAACAGATATTGCATCGTACCAGTTGATTCAAGCATGTGATTTAGAAGTTTATCCAATTGTACTATTAAGTCTAGAGCAAATAATCTTCAGTTGTGTTGTTCAGCCTAATTTCTGCTCCCGATTCACTTGTTCTTCGCTGACCTGGAGCTAATTGTAATCTATTTGTTTTGCAGTTTTGCTCTAGAATAAGTGGAATGCGCTTCTGCGAAGCTAGTGCAAAGGATAATTTCAATGTGGACGAGATCTTCCTGAAGCTGGTGGATGACATCCTCAGCAAGGTTGGTGTGTTTTCAGTGAACCCTGAACAAACATCTGGTAACAATGAAACTATGTTATGCATGTGAGTAGGGCGCATAACATAGACACATGTAAATATGCTTCAAATTAGTTATTGAAGATTTGTGCAGAAAAAGGACAGTTTTAACATTTCTGTACAGCAGTATCTTGTCACTTTATTTATATATGTGAAAAGCTTATACCAGCTTATAATATTGGCTAATGTTGTTTTACGATAAGATCTCTTAACCCCCTAGTTCAACACCTCGTCGTCTGGATCATTATCGCCCTATTCCTTTAAGATCATACCGATTATTATCAAGAGGCAATGATTCTATTGCTTCTAGAAGCTTCTTATCTTTCATTCCTACAAATTGAGGCTTATTGAGCCATTGCACATAATAACTGACTGTGGGTTTCGATGTACGCACACTGCCTAAATATTCCCTGCATTAACCCTTTGTCTCCTGGCGTGTCTTCTTCTTCCTGATACAACAGATGCCTCTGGAAGTTTCCAACATGGAGCTTTCCAACAGCATCCTGTCTCTGCAGCCTGAGCCGGATGTGCCACCGGAGTTACCGCCTCCTCGCATGCGCTGTTGCTGATAGAGTCCGAGTGGTCCCCCATCCTACACACACACACACACACACACACACACACACNCTGACAGACAAAGAGGTACATTGTGTACATTGCATGTAGAGAAATGCACAAGAGATGCGGGTTCTCTCGATACACTCATAAACACATGCGCACACACACACACACACACACACACACACACACACACACACACACACACACACACACACACTACACAAACACACACACACACACACGCAGAGTACCAACCTGGCCACCAGGGGGCAGCAAACAGCAGCAGTTAGGAATGATTGATTGCTGATGTAAGATGCATGGACCCCTCCCTCAACAAACGCTATTATATTTTCTTCTCCTGTTTCGTACACTATGAGATGAAGTACACTAACAATTAGGCACTCTATTTACTACCACCCCCTTCTGTCTACACTTGACCCAGACTACCTCATTCCTCGGACCGCTAGCTGTTCCCCGCAGGTTCCTTCGAGGTAGAGAGCCCTCTGGTAGCAGTTGCACATTTTACAAGAGGGTGATGATTGAGGGCCTTACAGCTTCCTGTTACTCATTACATATAGTGTACACTAAATTTGCCTAAGTTGCCCAGAAGGTCATGTATTTCTACATCTTCTAGCTAACAGAAAAGGGATATCTTGCGTCTCTTCATCTTAGTTTAAAGTTCCGGGGTTAGGTTCAGTCATTTTGTACTGTCACTAAAAGTTTCTAATCACCAAGTAACGAGTTGACTTGGGGTAAACAAAAGCACATGATGTAAATATGGCGTGTTGCTGTAATGACTGGACAAGCTGCAGATTTCTGTGACCAGCAGTAGGTGGTTGTGTGGAGGTGGATCATATCAGTTCGTATTCCTTTTTGCCTTAAAAGTGTTAAAGTGGCTGGAACGGCTCATTTCACATTTGTATAAATTGTTTTGCACTACAGTCCATCTTAGCTAACATGCAGAAAAAAGTGCACTACAGTCCATCTTAGCTAAGATCACATGCAGAAAAAAGTGCACAACTTGTAGTTTAGTAAAGATGGATTTTGCCTTGGTAGTGGTCGTTCTGATCTGAACTCCTCTACACTGATAAGGTGGAATGGACTTTGCAAGGAGAGATGGGTAATGTAGTCTTTGAGGGATTGGTGTTTTTACAAGGGCATTATCCTTGTTTGTAACTGGCTTTTTAGAGGGAGTAGAAACAGTAAAAGCTGATAGACACAAACATGGTTTTAGCCTTTGTTTTGTTACTAATATTGCCAAGTGGTTTATTTTTACTCAGATTTCAGATACAGATTAGAGAAGATTGTCTCCTTTTTCTGGGTGGAATAAGTGTCGGAGAGTTTGTTTAATATTTGAGGGACTCAGGAAACGTTGCTGGCTCATATCTGCACATTTTGACAGGCTTTTAGTGTAGATGTGATTCAAGTTTCAACACATTTATAAAGAGACTCTTCAAGTATCCTGTTTGAAAAGGGGACGTTTGTGTTTTTAAGAAGGGTTCAGATGTTTTTAATTTATGATTTGGAAGTTTGTTACATAACAGTATGGGCGTGTGTTCCTTTTCAAATATACAAAGCTATGCATGGCGAGCCTTCCTGTTTTCATAGAGATTAGTTGACATTGAATTCTTCCGTCTTTTTTCATTAATGCAATATTGTAGCACCAAGTCTTGTTTTCTATGTGGAAGTGAAAAGCTGAGGAAAGTCTGAAGGTGAAGAAGAACAAGCCCATTCAAAGGACCTGATTTAAACCAGGGGTGTCAAACTCAAGGCCCGGGGGCCAAATCAGGCCCGTGACTTCACTTCATGCGGCCCCACAAGAGCTTGCAAAAAATATAATAATTTTATTATACGGTTACAGGCCGATTCACAGAAGCACGTTGCCCACAAACTACATGTCCCACAATGCATCTCAAATTTGACTTTTTTTCTCCGAATTTGACAGTTTCTTCAAAATTTGACTTTTTTTTCCAAATGTCACTTCTTCTTTTATTTAGACTTTTTTTTTCCAGAATTTTGCTTTTCTCTTTAAAATTTTTTTGTGACATTCTCACTTAAGAGACTTGCAATTATTTGCCCGAGACTTCTGCTTTCAGACGTAGTTAATTATTAAGTTATTACCCTATCCGATAATAATCCAATGCAATCCAATTTATATAATACATTATTTTATATATTAAACATTTATATATGTATTTTGATATAGTCTTGAAGTTACAACCGGCCCTTTGAGTGCAACCATAATGCGAATGTGGCCCGCGATGAAATTGAGTTTGACACCCCTGACCTAAACTGACTTGTTGTTGGTTCTTTTTGATGATTTAATTTTTTTTTATTAAAGTCAAGCTTATGTGGGCTTAAATGGCACATTATATATCCTAACAAATGAACATGTTCATACCAAGACAATTAACCCTAACCCCAAGTTTATCAGCCAGCATACATACAAATTGTTTGTAACTTTGCAATTGTCGTTACTTCTTTTGAGTTTGTTTTCTGGAATAAAACCTTTAATTTGCCCCCTTCGTGACTTTTAGCCTTTGGCACTAACCCTGTGGTCTTTGTTTTGAATAGCCAAGCCTTATACTACTCAGTGTTTTAGATATACATTTGAAGAAATGCTTTTAATTTGAAATGTGTATCCTTTTAAGATGGAAAGACTGTACTTTGTATTAAAAACATGTTATAAGTCTTTGAAAAGTTTTGGCATGTTTAAAGCGAGATTTGTGGTATTTATAACTTGTGGCATTCTTGAACTAATGAAAAATGCAATTAAAGATATCTATATTTATTACCAGATTATGGCTTTTTCTTTTCTGTGACTTTGTGTGTCTATGGGCAGTCTATGTTCTTAACGCAGAAGTGCAATTTGTGGCGTCTCAGGGATGCTTGTGTGGATTTCAGGAACAAAGACATTTTATTAGTTTTATTGACATTTCTTTCACTTTTTGGCTACCAATATGCTGCAAACGTGGTGTTTAACTTTAACATATTTTAGATTGGAGTATTAGGGATAATGCAATTTATTCAATGAGCTTTTTAGACGTTTTAAGTATAAGATTTCCCACAGGAAGAGCTCAGTGTTGTGTCTCCTTAATCCGTCTTTCAACCGACTGTGTAGGTGTTCAGTAATAGCCAATAGAGTGCGTGTCATTAGGGCATGCGCACCAAAGCGTGCCGACCTGGTCCCGCCTGGTCCCATAGAAAACCAGGGGGTGTGCTTGGAGCAGCGCATGCGCCCCGCAGAAAATCACGGGCGTCGATCCTCACACCGCAGCGATTGCAGTTCTTACATGTCAGATAGGAAGGAGTGAGAGGGGTACGAGAGACGGGGGCCCAGCACTCACAGCCCGGTGTAACAGTGATGGAGACTCGATCTGTGGAGGCAAAAGAGATGTAGGCTTACTACAAACACTCTTTCCTTTCTAAATCTGCAGATGCAACCTGCCTCTCATCCACCTCCGTCCCAGTAATCCCCTTTTCTTGTTGCAGCGTTTCCTCCAAGGACTACAATGACAACCTGGTGAATGCTAACGAGATGGAGTAAAAAAAGAACGTCCAGCACATTGCAGGATGCGCACTAGGAGGAAGAAGGTAGAGCAACCTGGGTGTCTTTCTGCTGTCTCATGTCAGAGCTTTTCCGCGGTGCTGTGGATTGATCGTCTCGGTGTCGGTGTATAATGGAGAGCTCCAATGGCTCTGGCAGCGACACCAAACCGCAGAACCACCAGTTGGAGAAGAAGAGATTGAACCGAGCGCCTTCCCCGGCCAGACCTTTCCTAAAGGATGTGCACCCCCGTTCCCCCAAACCACCTGCCATCGTACCCAAATCCCCCAAACTCAGCAAGCAGTCCGCTTCGCTGCCCTTGGTGCATCCGAACCGCATCTCCAGGCGCAGCCCGTCCGGGGCAAAGGAGAAACCATCCCCGCTGAAAAGTAACACCAGGTCTCCTGTGGCGAGAAAGCCCTCAAAGGTGTCCCAGCATGCGGCAGCCGAGCCCAAAACCGCCAGCATCAAACCGGACAGTGCCAGCGGCAGTCCGGTCCTCTCTAAAGGGAAGAGGGGGAAACTAGCCTCCTCTCCGGGGCCTCTAAACCATGGATCTCCAATCCGGGTACCGACCGGTGCGCATTTGGTTCTGGTCAACCAAACGGACAGCAGCTCGGACCTGTCGGACTGCCCCTCCGAGCCGCTGTCCGACGAGCAGAGGCAGGCAGCAGCCGCTAGTAGCGACGCTGAGTCCGGGACCGGCTCAAGTGACCGGGATCAGATGGGAGGGGATAATCCGCTGCGGGAAGAGGCGACCGAAGCTACACCGCGCACAACCGAGGCTTCCGCCGCCAAGGGAAGCATGTCTCAGGCTCAGCACGGAGAGAAACACCGGCAGGAGAAACCCTCCTCATCTTCATCAGCCGCACAACTCAGACTGCCAGCCGCCAAGGATGTTACCGAGGAGGACCTGCTGCGGGAGGTGGAGGACCTGCGATCCGAAAACGACTACCTCAAGGTATGGGGATCATATCTCAAGTTACCAGACTCATAATACCTTTATTCATCCCACAGAGGGGACAATTACAACCTTGCAGCAAGAGTAAAGAGCAAAACATAGCAACATATGCATTATTTGGCATGCATGAAATCTTAAAGAGAAAAATTGAAAATGACTATTTACAAAAATACTCATCCAGGTGGACAACAGAAAGTGTATCATAAAGTGTGACAGGGCTACTATGTTTAATTGTTGCATATATGTTTTTATATTAACACAAAATCCAAAAAGACCCTTCTTTCAGTTGCAGTTTTATTTAATCCCTACTCCAGAAGCATCTGTTTCCCACAGCTGTCATTTTTTTCAACAGCATGCAGTTGAGGGTTCAATCCCCACCATCACCTGTTTTGATAGTGTCCTTGAGCAACTTTCACCTGCTCACTTATTCAAAGCATATTCTAAGAAGTGTATAAATTATTAAAATCTAAACGCATCAGCTGCCATCCCCATCATGCCCCTGTGTCGACTCTCCATCCATCATGTCGGCTTTTACCCTCCCCTGTGGGTTTGACCTTTATTGATGGGTGTTTTATTGAAAATGGCTTCTCCCTGGCTTTTTCTTAGACTTTCCTTTTTTAAATTGTTTTGCTGTCAAGTCAACAAAGTCTATTCTGACTGAACATTTTTTGCCCAAGTCCCCCTCCTCAATTTGTATCTGGGCCACAGAGAGAACATCATCTCCTGTAACAATGTGAATAAATTGTCCTCATGGATGCAGTTAATCATTGCTATGTTTTCCAACATCGTTATTTTTGACATATTGCATGAAGATCCTGTTTGAAGATCTCATTCGGGATCCCCCTCCCCCTCCTTTAAGTAGGCTATCCCCTTAAGTTGGGGAGGGGAAGCAAACACATAATGCGGCAAACAAATCTTGCAGATTCTTTTTTTCAGATGGTTTATTTGCATGTTGCTCCGAGTATTATTCCAAACTTGATCACGCATGTCTGTGTCTCTCTGCGGCCCGGTGCAAACACAAGAGAGTTAATCAGCTTTACTGGCTCTGGCTGTAATGGCTTTATCCCACAGGACTTGATAACAGTCAGATGTCTCATGTGTGTGTGGGGTTCAAACACCCGCCTGCCTGTCAGTCTGCCAGCTGGGACGCTGAGGTGAACTCCTCTACCTCCCCCATCCCCCCCAAGGAATAAAATATCTGGGAGTCCCCACCACATGTGCTATACGTCAGAGCTGCTGCTTGAAAAACATGTTTATTTTATTTTGACCCCTCATAAGGAGGATTTTAACCTATTGTCTCTGCTTGGTTGCAAAACACCATGACATTGATTGTCGGGGCTGCTGCTTACAAATTATTTAAGAGTTGTAACGATTAGGGATAAATCGAGTAGTCCGTTGACTGAAAGTTATCCAGAGACTATTCTCGTTATCCATTTGAATCAATGTTGAAACAGAAGCTATTACTGCCAGCTTCTCAACTGCAAATATTTGATATTATTCTCTATTTGATATTGTTGTGAATGTACTATTGTTGTTTTGACAGTGGGATATTCATAACAAAAATGCCATTATGTTTCTCTCAGGTCTATGAGCTTGTGATTGACAGTTTTCATAGAAAGAAAAAGAGATGAATCAAGAACATATGCAGGGTTATTATCAATTAAACTGCTAAATAGTTTTGTGATAAAGAAAGTGTCTGTAAGTAGTCAGAACATTGTAGAAACTCGAAGTGATGGAACTTGTCCTGAACTAAAAAGATAATTCATCTCCTATCATATAAAAAAAGAGAAGTATCTTTGAGTACTTTCTTATAAAAACATGACTTTAAGTTATCTAGGTCTACCTTATCAAATGTTAAAATTGACGGCTTTTCTTTTCCTTCCTTATTAGCAAAGAGATTATCGTTGGTTGGTAAAAAAAAAAACTGAAATGAAGACGTCCCCTTTGGTCGTGATTCGTGAGAAATTCTGATAATCCTTTCACATTTTCTTTGACATTTCCCAGAGCAAAAATAATGACAAATCAATCTGGAATGTAATGAATTACAGCAGCTGCTCAATAAAGATATCTACTCTTACCCCTCTTAAAGAGACCAACGATTACCGCTGATGACTCGGTGTACACACTCCCCGTAAACATCAGTGATGCTCTGAATGTACCTGCTCCCAGGATGCATCTCTGCCTCTGGCTCTGCTGCTAACCTGGACATCGATTGGAGGACATTAGCTCCTTCCTCCGGGGTCCTCCTCAGATAACAATGTGCTCTGTGCCTTCCCAAATGAGGATAGATTTAGTTTTATTAATTGACACTCTCACTCAAACACCCCCCCCCCCCACTCTTCAGCATACAATTGTCTTTTCATCAGGTGCCAGTCAAGCTGTGAATCTCCCTCCTAGGGGAAATCTCGCGAGCCTCCCCATGTTGGAGGCAAACTGAGACCCTCGAGGATAACGCACAAACTGTCGTAGTAGTAGAGATAAACCTTTTTACTTTCCCTCAATCATGCCGGGTAGTTTCATGTCGATGGGTCATCATGTCAATACATCCAATCCAAGAGATAAGACTAGCGATGTTACATCATCATCACTGAGAGTACATGCATTACTGGAGCTCGTATGTATGAGAGTATAATCTACAAAAGTATATTATATTGCATTTCCTTTTTAATAGCTTTATGCCTGAAAGGTTTTTATGTTGTGGAATTGAGAAAATCCCCTATGCTGTGATTAATACATAAGTGTAAACTGTAAACCATGTTACTTTTTAATGAAGCAGAGAAGTATCTTCATTTCCTGTTTACTATTTAAAATGATTTAACACAGAAGCTTTGTCCAAAAAAAACCTTCAAGAAAGATGAAACACAGAACATTTCATCAGTATTTCTGACAAACCCTGTCTTGTTACATCAGTTGCTCGGTGTGTGACCCTCTGAGCTTTTTCCTAACATCACTGTTGGTCAGACTTTCTTCTTACACAACACATTCGCCCATGGCAGTCTAAAACTTCATCATTTCCATGACATTGCTGGGTTTTTGAGGACAGCATATTTGGTCACCTAAAGGCACCTCAAGTCAAAACTTTTACACAGAAAATATTCAAATCAAACTGGCAGTTTGCCATGAAATATAAAGTGAGAGCACATTCAAACTCAGCTGAACAGTTTAGACACTTCATTAGCTTCTTCTGGTGCCACCTTAAAAAATACCTTCTTTTAATGCATAATTTACGAGTATGAAGAAGCAAAGACTTAGAGGGGAAGTTTCATAATTTAACTTCTGGATTCAGATCACTTTCTAACCTTACAGTATATCCCTTTAGCTGTTGCTGGTCTTTAAGGCCTCTTCTGTGAAGTTGCCCTCAGGTAAAAACTCATTTAGAACATTTGGTTAAGTATTTCTTAAACTCCAAAGCTGCTTCACAAATATAAATGTATGGAGTTGTTAAAAAGTATTTTTTCTTGCGTCCATACACAAGTTTTGTTGCTACAGAAACACAGAGCTAAATCCCAGATCGAATGCACGCTAAAGGGTCTTGAGCATGTTTTCTCTCAGTGATTGTGCTGTTATGTTAAATGTTTGTTTGTTTTTCATGTATTGTGTCTTGATATCTGTCTGTTGATGTCACACATGGAGCTGCTGTGATGCAAGTCAAATTTCAGACTTGATCTGACCATTAAAGTATTATCGTAATTGGACAGTACACGATTCATTGGGATATAACCTAAAAGTATATATGTCATGTAAACACAAACCCAAGTCTAAACCTATTGACCCTTTTTTGCATCTGTTTGCAAAGTATGATGAAAACAGGACTGTCTGCAGCAAAGAATACAAACTTTCATTTGCTTGAAAAACTATGAACTACATGATGTTAGATATCATTACCCATGAATTCAGTGTGGATGTGGTATTAAAGTGTCTGCTCCTCTCTGTCTCAGGATGAAATGGACGAGCTGCGGGCGGAGATGGAGGAGGTACGGGACAGCTACCTGGAGGAGGAGGTGTTGGTACACCTCCTCCTCCAGGTAGCTGTCCCGTACCTCCTCCATCTCCGCCCGCAGCTCGTCCATTTCATCCTGAGACAGAGAGGAGCAGACACTTTAATACCANTGGGAGAAAAAAGGTCCCTATGTCTGATTGGCTGGGCGGAATGCAAACCACGCCCCGTAAAACTCCCCAAAAGTTTTGTGAAGCCGCCATTTTATTATCCTCGCATTAGCATTATTAGCATTAGCCCAACGCAGAAACGCAGACTAACTTATGGCAACACAAAAGAAAACATGGGAGCGGTGGAGATGAGGAAGTGTCGGCGTTCTGCCGATTTACTCGGAAGGCTTCAGTAGAAGCTGCTGGGAGTCCCAGCAGCTTCTACTGACTTCCGGCCGGGGACTTCGGGTAGCAGTATACGCCGTGAAGTTGTTTGCGGCCTGCCAGTAAACCCAAAGCAGAAGAAGAAGAAGAAGTTACGTCAGCGGCTTAATTTGCCTAATCCTTCCCCCAGGGACTTATTCCGATGTGAACGCGATCTGTACTTAGTTCATGAGAACTAAAGAGTTCTCATGAACTAATTTCTCATGAACCTTTGTGGGAAAAGTACTGCGGTGTGAATGCGCCTAATGAGAGTTTACTGAAGGATACAAAACAAACTTGCTAATAAGCCTTCTAGATGCTGAATGATCTTCTGATTTTCTTCCAGGAGTCACCAAAGAGGTTCCAAGCAGTCCCTGCAGAGCAGAGACGACCAATCAGAGTCCTCTCCCTGTTTGACGGCATTGCCACAGGTGAGGATGAGTGTGAGAATGATAAGAGAGAGACGATGAATAAATATTATCTTAAACCACTTGATGTTTCATTAATTTAAAATGTGCTTTTTATTTCAATTTAAGTTCATTCACCAACACTTACATCAGTTTAAAGTATAATGATGAGACATAATGGAGATATGTGAAATTGGACAACCATATAAGCTGTCTGACACTAAAAATAATGTTTGTAAAACA